CACTAGCAAACAATTTCTGGTTTTAAGCTCTGTGTCAAAATACAGGCGGGAGTCCAGCAATATATCTTTTAAAGCAAAAATTTTCTTTGAAATGTTCCTGTATATTGAATCAAAAAATAAAATCTAATAAGTTGATATAATGAAATAAAAGGAGATTTTATCTGATCGGACACCTGAAATGTGAAAGGAATGGCTGCCTGTCCACAATATGAGGCTAATGAACGATGTATGACATTGAAAGCGAATAGGACCAAAGCACTTTGTAACATCTGGAAAATCTGGAAATAAGCGAAAAGAAATTAGATATACGGTTTGTAAGCATGAAATTAAGTATCTACAAGACGCTGTCATTGGCGGTGATCAGCGAGATTAATATATAGACATAAAAGCTTCATTGAGGATTTTCTCCTGAGATTGAGGTGATTCATAGGAGAGTTTACTATGCGAAAGTCAAGTTTTCGAATGAAAACCTTCGCCAGCTGGAGAATTTGACGGATTGCGGTCGAGCAGCCGACCGATTGTGGATCGGAGTTTTCGGACAGTGGAAAGTGAATCTCGCATTCGAATGGAGGTCAACACACATACGATATCAGTGATATCACTCCAAGTTGAAAGAACGTCGTACTTTCATTTTCGGCACAGCTTTGACGAGCCGCACACGACTTCAACATTTTCAGTTTGTTAGGAAAAGTGGATAGCCATTAGTACTATTTAATCACAGAAAAGTCTGCTTAAAAGGGAAGAATCTGCGTTATAGATTTAACGTCTTGCTAGTTTATGAAAGACACCTCAAAAATTTTTTAGCCTTGTTAGACAATAAACAAATTGAAAAGAAATTATATGTTCGCAGCGACACTGCGCTATTCTACGGCTCCTTTACGTTTCGGAATAGGGTTAGCAGTTCAGAGTTCTTTAGTGGGAAGAGGGTGTCACGCTCTGCATGATGTCCAAAAAAGAGTTCGCTTAATCGCAATGTTTCCGGCGAATACAAATATCTATTCGTTTACAGAGAGTGCGGAAAAATACTGACTGAGAAAATACGGTAATCGAAGTTCTTACATCTATAGAACGTTGTCAGTGGCGGAAGTGCATGAACAAAACAACTCCACTCCTAGTTTTTCTTGATACCGACAACCATAGTAAGTCCAAGAACATGCTATACATTCTTATTCTGGAAAGTTCAGAACTGAGTGGAGACATTTATTGAATTCCAGCGTCTGACAAAAGAATTTGAATATTCGGCATACTGCTTTCAGACACAGAAAAAAACAGTAGCACCGTGATCTCCTCACTTTTTCTGAATATTCGAATGCTTAAAAAAGAATAAGCTCCCATATCAAAGCAACTATTGCCCACCGCAATGGAAATTTATTACTAAGAACGGGAATTGCTAAGAAAATAAGTTTCCATTGCTATTATTATGAACATGAAAGAAATAAAATTCTTCGATAGCTTTCGCATTTGGGATTTATAGTCTTCAGGTATCAAAGTTTTATCATATTCTCTTTGACATCATGCATAATTCTCCGTTTGGCTGACCACTACAATGGAACATGCACTTTTGATGATTAATTAGGGCATTTTACAAATGCTTCCTAGATGTTCTAACTCATATTGAAATAAAAATGCTTAAATTTGTTGAAAAAGGTTGCTTTGTAAGTACCTAATGCCATCATATATAAATGTTGATTACTTAAGTAACTTGAATGACTTACCATGAACAAACATCGATCAAAGCCACCGTTAATAAACCATGAAACTATTAACTTAGAAATATTCGGTCCAACCAAATGATGTA